TCCCCAGTGCTGGGATTAAAGGCATGCACCACCCCGAGGTCTCTTTTATAAGGATACTAATCTCAGTTATGAAGGCCCTTGTCTATATGATCTCATTACCTCACCAAAGCAATGTCTCCCGGCATCACTGCATTTCAGCAAGTGAGAGGGAGGGGAGTGTAAACAATTGGACCATAGCAATGGGCTTGCTTCATGCTTGCCTACTTTAGACTATCAGTACGTGTAAATGAAGAAGTAACATGATTCCTTGGCCTCAATGAGTTGGATGCCACAGGCTGACTCGAGCATCCTGGGCAGATTTTAAAAGACAGGTTTTTCCAGTTCTGACTCAGCTGTAGGACATGGGGGCATGAATAGATTGATCTCTCTCTGTGCCTTACAATAGCTCCACACCTACGTCCTTCCCTGGGATTCTGTAGCTAAGAGACATGTTTTATAAAGACAAGTGTTGTTATTAAGAGCCTTGGGTGTGGTTCTGCCTGAGGATTGGCTAAAGGTTTAGCACATGTAAGATTTGTCAGGTCTAGGCCCTGAGAATTTGCATCTCAAAGCTCCTTCACCAGGTTTATGCTGCTAGTTCCTAAGGGTAAATGTAGCGGAGTTGCAAGGCTCTTGCTGGTGAAATCCCTTTTGTGTTAGGTTCTCAGTTTGGGGAAGGTAGATGTATCAGTAACTTTTTGGTTGCTGGGATTAAACACCATGACCGACACAACTTACAGAAGGAAGGATTTAGCTTATGGTTCCAGAGGGATAAAAAATCCATCACGGTAAAGGTAGCAGACATAGTGGCTGGAACAGAAGCTAAGGACTCATCTTGAGCTGCAAGCAGGAAGGAGAGAGAGAGAGAGAGCTCATCTATAATGGCACCAGGCCTTAAAACCTCAATGCCCACACCAAATGTCAGTATTTCCTTCAACAAGGCCACACCTCCTAAGGCTACCCTAACAGCGCCGCCAACTGGGGACCAAGCATTCAAACATCCGAGCCTGTGGGGAACATTGTCACTTAAATCACCACAGTAGGAATAGACACTGAAGTTTAATTATGTCCCACAGCAAACCTTAGGAGGCAAATGGTATTCTCATTCTACAGAAAAGAAAACAGACACTGGGAGAAATGACTTTCCTATAGTCATACATTCAGTGCCTAACTCAGGATTCAGACCCAGGTCTTCCAGGGCTAACTAATATCTTTTCCCAACATTATGTTCTCGGACTTCCCTCTAGCTAACTCTCTGTCATACTCCACACCAGCGCTTTCTCAACATGTGGGTCGCCACGACCCTTTCATAGGGATCACCTAAGACCATTGGGAAAATAGATATTTACATTACAATTTATAACAGTAGCAAAATTACAGTTATGAAGCAGCAATGAAAATAATCCTATGGTTGGGGGTCACCACAACATGAGGAATTTATTAAAGGGTTGCAGCAATAGGAAAGTTGAGAACCACTGCTCTACACATTGTTGTTAAAAATATAGTTTCCAGGTCTTATTTCCATTATGACTTAGTAGATTTTAGGCCATTTAAGGTACCTATATTTCTTTTTCTTTTCTTTCTTTTTTTTTTTAGATGTATTTATTTTTTATATATACAGCATTCTGCCTGTATGTATGCCTGCAGGCCAGAAGAGGGCACCAGATCTCATTACAAATAGTTGTGAGCCACCTTGTGGTTGCTGGGAATTCAAACTCAGGACCTCTGGAAGAGTAGTTAGTCAGTGCTCTTAACCTCTGAGCTGTCTCTTCAGTTCCTTCTTTTTCTTTCTTTTCCTTAATTTTTATTATTTATGTTTTAAGGTAGCTGCATTAAAGTGAAAAATGGAAACAGTGTCCTGAGTAATTCTAAATTTAGCCAAGGTTGTGCAAAGTACACTTTGAGAGGGACTGCTCATTCTGCCTTCCTTGCCAGTCTGGTGCAAAGCTTTTAACCCACATGGCTGACAGACTTAAAATGTATGGGATCTCCTGGGAGCTTGTTGAAACAGGCTGCTGGGCCTCACAGCTCTGGAGCTCTGATTTTCCAAGTCTCAGTAGGTAGGACCTGGGCACCTACCTGCCTTTCTAAGTCCAAGATGATGCTATAAGCTGCAAGCCCAGAATACATACACCTCGAAGACTATTGTCCTAAAGCTTGCCAATCAAGTTACAATTCATGGACCCTGAAGCTTCATCTCACACCTCTGAATTCCAATCTGTGTGCATTTTAACACTGACTTAGAAAGGCCAGACAGGAGCAAACCCTGGGGTGGAGGTAGATGGAGAATATCCCTTCTTCTTTATTAGAAAACAGCAACATGTTAGGCCAAGAGACAGAAAGGATAGAGGGCTCTTCTGTGAGGACGGAAGAGAGATGGTAGGCCTGAGAGCTAGGCTGTGGAGAGGCATTCTGTTGATTGTCAACGTGAGGAGGGGGCATGCAGTGACTGAAGTCTTCGGTAGGGAGGACAGTCACATGAGGATGTGACAGATGAACACATCTGAGTAAACAGTTGGCTCAGCAGCCAATAGGGCTGAGGTAGGAAAGCTTGAGTCTAGGGGTGGGGGGCTCTGTCAGGCTAGTGTTTTGATTCTGTCTTGCAACTGGAAAACAAAACAAAAAACCCGATAGCCATACAGGATAGAGCCAGGTCCCTCGGTCAGTACATGGCACTGAGACTGGGGTCCCATTGGTGGGCTGGATACGATGGAAATTCTGGGGTGTGTGGGAGAGGAGTGAGTACATGCCATTGGAGATCCTTGGGCCATTACCTCTTTTATATGTAAAGAAAAGGGTGGGGAAAATCCTTCAGAAGACATGGACTGTTCCTTCCTTCATACATGAGTGCATATGAATAGACCAGGCGGGAGTCCTTTATTGCTCAGATATATTAAAACAAATTTGGGAGTGGCTAGGTTGCAGTGCTGTCTGTGTGAGTGGAGATTGCTGGGGTCCCCAGAACTGCCCAGTCTTAACTCCTGCCCATGCAGCTCCGAAGTGAGGGAGCTGCTGACCCAGCATTGGCTCCTGTGAATCTCACAGCTGCTTGCCCCTTCTGACAGCTTTTACACCATTTTCTCCCTCCCTCTCTCACAAGGAAAAAGTCTCCTTAGTGTTGGAAGTTCCCCTTTTGGCGAGGCCCTTCCTTTCAAGGGCCCACAGGAAACCAGGAAATAAAGACTTCCTTTTCGGTTTACATTTATGGCACTCTGACAGGAATCACATGTTGTCTACAGGCAGGAAGCAGAAGGAGATGAATACTCCTGCCCTGCTTGCTGTCCCATTTTTATTCAGCCTAGGACCCTAAACCCCATAGTGGTATCACCCACATTTAGGGTGAATCTTCCTACCTCCAGTTGATGCAATCTGGAGACCCCCCCTCACAGGCACTCCTAGACACTTGCAATTCTAGATCCTGTCAGGCTGACAATATTAACCATCACCACTTCCATGTGGAGTTCACACACTAACACATAACTCTCCCCTCACTTTCCCCAAGGAGGTAGCATGCATTCCAGTATCAAACAAGACTGTTTGAAACTTGATACATGCTGTGCCAACCTCAGGCAGGTTATTGGTATCTGGGCCTTTGTTTCCTTCCTGTAAGGAGAGGGGCCATGTGTCATTGTTGCTGTGCCCACATTGAGACAGAGTCCTGTGCAGGGCACAAAGGAAATTTTCACGGATGTTCAGGAATAGAGGCAATAAAACCATCTATCTCCATTGTTTCCGGGGCTACTTTGAGCAAGGCATGTTCTTGTCCAGGCTATGAGGGTGAGCTAGATTTATTATAAAGGAAATTTCCTGTTCCTTCTTAGAAGAAGGTGCCATACTTTGAAACAACAAGAACTTCTTGATGTTGTTTGATGTCAGGCTCTGAGGGGAAGCCAATTCCTTGTAACCATTTGTCCAAGGAGGGATGAAGCAGGCTGCTGCCTCCCACCAGGGCCAGGTGTCCCTCTCCTTTCATCCTCTTCGTCACCCTTTCTCTTTACACAGGGATGAGTGCCATTTGGAAAAGTACAGCTGGGTAGATATGAATCAGCTCAGGCAGGCGACAAGTGATTCACATCGGACCAACTTGATTTAGTTCAGGTCTTCCATTCTGAAGCCTTTTCTCCCTTCTAATTAAACCATGATTGCTCTTGGTGGTGGGAGGGAAGAGGCTGACTGTAATGTCTGTATTTGTGGAAGCTGGGGACAGGGGGGATAATGGAACAGGCTTTCCTGTTTGGCAAAGCCCAGGAGTGGCCATAGCATGGCGGTGGTGCTGGAGATGCTGGCACCCATGGAACCTTCTGGGCCTAATGTGCAGCCAGTGATGGACAGTCTAGCACCTTTCCCGTTTTCTCCAGCTGAGGACTGTGGACTATGATACCCTATGACCTGCTTTCAGAAAATACACGAGCCTGTCAACTTACCCCATTAGACCCAGCTCTTGAATCACCGGGCACAGTGCCTGGGCACAGTTGGGGCCGGGAAAAGGCATGTTGATCCAAGCATCTCTCTTGTCCTGTCAGTGCACACAATTAAGGCTGTTGCTGCTGATGGTGTTAACTCCTCTTACTGTAGATTACCTCACATATTTCTGCTCTGGGTCCTTTGATCTGGTGTGGCTGGCAGTTAGCTCTTTAGAGGCTTGGGCAGAGGCACCTGAGAACTCTGGGCTTCCTATGCCTTCCCACTGCTTCCTTTCATCAGTTGGCAGGCTTTGTGCACCTGTGACATGCCACGCACTGCACTGGGTCAATGAAGGCTGCAGTCAAGTGTTGCAGGCCAGTGCTATGTCTCTCCAGGTCTTCTTAGCAATCCCTTTTTACTGCTGAGGAAATGGAAGGCATGAATTAAATGGACTCCCCATCCAAAGCTCTTTAGGGTGAGTTTAGAGTTAAAATGTTAGAGAAGGTGCTTGCCTCTGGTTGATTGTCTGTCACATGAAGTCAAAGTGAAATCCCTTCCACGTGAGTGTCTCAGGCCTTCTTCGAGGGAGTCCTTCCTAATGTGTTTGCTTTCTCCAGGTGTTGACTTTAAGATGAAGACCATCGAAGTTGATGGCATCAAAGTACGGATACAGATTTGGTGAGTTGGGCAGCATGAGGAGGCAGGTAAAGAAGGGGGGAACTCTGAGCTGTCCATGAGTGCCACTGTCTTTTGTAAAATCCTCTAAGCTTTATCTGGGATAACAGGGTGATAACTCTATGAAGAGCAAGATCAGAAACCCCTATTGCTTGTTCTATGAACCTTAATCTCAGCAAACTATGGAAGGGATGAGAAGTCACCAAAGGGAGGAAGTTAGAAGCCATTAGTAAAATAAGTGCCATGGGCTTATCTCTGAATTGGGTGTTACTCTGGAGCTGTACCATTGTGGCTAAGCCTGGAAGGCTGAAAGCACCATTCCCTGGCTTAGATTGGGACTGGTTTTTGTTTGTTTGTTTGTTTTTTGTTTGTTTGTTTGTTTTCAGAGTGCTCAGTACTACATGGTGCAGTTTCCACTACTGGCCATCAGGGGCTGCTGTGGCTTTCTGGCCTAAAGGTCTTAGGAGCCCTTACAGTTATGGTAGAATGCCATGGGAACTGCCTTTAGCAATGCCCTGGGCACTGGGTGTGGGACACATCCTCCCATCTGGCCAAGCATGGCCACAGTGGCTGAGTTCTGGAGAGCTGTCTATGGTCTAGTCAGGTTGTGGGTCCTGAGAAGAGGCTAAGGCCCTGCAGGCCTTGTTTGTGCCCATACCCAGGACCAGGCTTGTCTTTCACTGCAGACTTGGGTGTGTTTGGATACTCCTGGGGATTAGAAAACAACTATATTTTCATCCTAAAATCCCCCAGCTTTTCCTCCTAGGGCACAGGGTATCCTAGCTCCTGCTGCTCCCTCTTCTGTCTGCATGATACCTTCTCTGAGCAACTGACTTTCTCTTGCAGGGACACAGCAGGGCAGGAGAGGTACCAGACCATCACAAAGCAGTATTAGGCGGGCCCAGGTGAGCCACCATTTCAGGGTTAGCGCTGGGAAGCTTCCCTCCACACTTCTAGCACTGGGTGAGATGCCTGTGTCACTGAACCTTAAAGTAGGGCCCTCAGAGTGCCTACTGGGGAAACTATTTATTCTTCAGTTATTCACAGACCACTTACTGTAGCTGGGTTCTTCACCCTCACACACAACCTCCGCTCTTGACCAGTTATTCACAGACCACTTACTGTAGCTGGGTTCTTCACCCTCACACACACCCTCCGCTCTTGGTGCTTTTCACCAAGCCAAAGACCCAGGTCAAATCATGCAATACCTTCCTATCTAAGAATTCCATGAAGAAGCTGGTCGGTGGCGGTGCATACCTTTAGTCCCAGCACTCAGGAAGGCAGAGACAAGCTGATCTCTGCCAGTTCAAGGCCAGCCTGGTCTACTGAATGAGTTCCAGGACAGCCTCCAAAACTACAGAGAAACCCTGTCTTGAAAAAAACAAAACAAAAAAGAAAGAAAGAAATTCCATAATGGGCCTACAGAGTGGCATCTATGAACGTCTGAGGGAAAGGAAGCGTGTCTGTGTGTTGAGGGGTCCTCATTATAGGCAGGAAGAAGGAAGGGAGGGTGGGCTGAACATATAAATGCCACTAGTCTGGCCCCATGACTGTACATTCTACTGGGTCTGTCTTTCTCTCTTTCCTCTCTTTCACAGGGAATATTTTTAGTCTATGACATTAGCAGTGAGCGTTCTTACCAGCACATCATGAAGTGGGTCAGTGACGTGGATGAGGTAGGAGATATCGCCTCGCCGATGGGATGGGGGAGGGGCACCATAGGAAAAGGCAAAACAATGGCCTTGGCAATAAAACAAGCTCTCAGCATTGGCCTTTACAACTTTGGGTAGTAGAGACCTTTGGGTAAGTCACGTGGAAAAAGCTGATGCTTCTGTACCCTTATGTGTTATACCCTGCTAGGATCTGGTAGCCATGTCTTTCTTGGACATGCATTAATCCCAAGACTTCCTCATGGGCGCTTCTTTCTCAAAACCTCAGGTCCAGATGGAATTACAAGTCTGAGCTACTAGACCTGCACATAGTGGAGCCTTGGCAAGCCATTTCACCTCCTTAGGTCCCCAATCCCTCCTCTGTCAAGTAAAGGCTAAACAAAGTCCAGTGTCCTTTGCAGTTCCAACACCATTCGTTCAACCCAATGAGGCATCTGTGTTAGCATCTTCTCCCCTAAGCTGTCCTCGTGAAATCCTTAGGGTTAGCCATGATATTATAGTCCCCATGGCAGCCCATGCCCCATGGAAGCTGAGAAGTACAGACAGTGCCAAACCCTTTATATGTTGGCTTTCCCCAGTCTTGAATATCTGTGACAAAATATATAAATTAGACATGGTAAAAAAAAAAAAAAAAAAAATAAACATTGTAAAAAAAAAAAAAAAAGAATCAACAGCAATAATAGCAAAATTGCAATGTGCTATAATATAGTTACTTATGAATCATTTATTTCTGGAATTTTGTGTTTAATATTTTTTAGATCGAGGCTGACTGATGGTAATTAAATTGTGGGGACAGGGGTGGTTCCTGTATGCTGGGAGCCTGCTCTCTGTACCGAGTCAGCCTACTTCCTGAACTTGGTTTGGAAGCCAATGGAGACTGTATGGGGGAGCTGGGAATGAAGAGGCACACTCACTTAGACCCGCCTCCATTTTGTCCTTAGTATGCACCAGAAGGAGTCCAGAAGATCCTCATAGGGAATAAGGCTGATGAAGAGCAGAAACGGCAGGTGGGAAGAGAGCAGGGGCAGCAGGTATGCTCACTCTCTGGGGCTTCTGTGGCACTTGCCAGCCTGTCCTGAGAGCAGTGACCCAGGAGTGCACTCACCATCATCAGGTCCTCTCACACATCCAGCACTGGGAAGCTGATGATTTTGACAGTTTGCTTTCTGATCCTCAGGACATGACCAGAGTCCACATGGCAGGGACAGGGACGGGACTCTTAGGCAGCACCTCTAGCAGGCCCAAGACCCCTTAAACAGGATGCTACTGTGCTCAGGATCACCTCTGTGACAGAGATGGGGAAGCCAGCTGCTGATATCTCTAACAGACTGTGCATAGCTGATCTAAGGAAGGGTCTCCCACTCCACCCCCTCCACACCCTGACTTCCGGACTCCACATTCGTGGAAAGTGTAGGAATGAAGAGTCCCCAGATAGACAAGCCTCGGGGCAGAGGAGGTCAAAGCATATCCAAGCTTGCAGGGAGACCATACTCCCACACAACAGAAAGATTGATACTCTGAGGCAAGACTCGTCCACCCACTCTGAACGCCTCGAGAGTTTTTCTCTTCCTCTCCAGTCAATAGCATTCCATTAGTCCTTAAAATAAAATTGATTTTTTTTTGGGGGGGGAGCATAGCAAATAATCTAATGGCATTAAAATGTGAAAGTGGAAACAAACCCTACAAGGGTGGCAGTTTTTATTGAGCATCACCCATGTAGCACTGTGGTACGTGCTCTTAGCCGTGTGACCCCATGCAATCATTTTATAACCCTTGATGCAGACGCTACCGTTCCCCTTTAATAGAGGGTGATGCTGGGACTTGGAGAGAATGGTGATAGTAACTTGTTCTGGGTCTTATAGCTCCTGGCGGCAGCATGGCACCTAGACTGGCTTGGTTGCACTCAAAGGCCATGTTTGTCATTTATAGGCCATATTCTGTTGCCTTTGTGTCCTGACGTAGTGGGGTGTGTGTGTGTGTGTGTGTGTGTGTGTGTGTGTGTGTGTGTTGAGACTTGGATGGAATAGGTGTATTGGTGGAACATCTTGTCCCATTCTCTGCCAGCCTATGTCTTAGAAAGAGCCCCAGTTTCCCATTCCAGTCATGGTGTCACTGCAACACGCATTGAGAGTTCTGTGGCAGAAGCACGTCCCAGGAGGTATGGGCCTCCCTTCCCACACTGACTGCCTTTCAGAAATATCCTTGTCTTGCAGCTGGCTAAGGAGTATGGCATGGACTTTTACGAGACAAGTGCCTGCACCAACCTCAACATTAAAGAGGTGAGAACACAGGGCAGGCAGGGTTACCAGAAGCAGAGAAGGGGACACTGGACTAACTTGTGTTCCTCGGCTTCCCAGTCCTTCACTCGTCTGACGGAGCTGGTGCTGCAGGCCCACAGGAAAGAGCTGGATGGTCTCCGAACACGTGCCAGTAACGAGCTAGCACTGGCAGAGCTGGAGGAAGAGGAAGGCAAAGCTGAGGGCCCAGTGAACTCTTCAAAGACCTGCTGGTGCTGAGGGTCCTGCGTAGAATCCCCCCGCAACTCCCTTCCCTCAGGAGGCAGGTGGAAGCAGGGGAGCCTGGGCTTTGCCCACTTCTGTCCTTGCATTTGGTGACCCTGTTGAAAATCAGTAGCTGCTACTCCCCTGCCTGGCCCTGCGAGCAGCTCTGCTATGGCCTCTGAGCAGCCTGTGCCCCCAGCCCCTCTACCCTGGAGTGGTAACCTTCAGCCTGTTTCCCAGCCACAGGCCTGCTGTGATCCCAGAGCGTGCTGCGACCATCGCACCACCCCGAGCTCCTGGGACAATGGTCAAGGCTGGAGTCCAGGCCACTTAGAGACTCACTTCTTAGTGCATCTGTGTACTCTGCTTTTTCTCTTCTTTCTCCTTTTTCTCCATCTACTTTCCTCCAGTGTGTTCTGCATCGTGTCTCTCCTCCGCCTGTGTGTCCTGCTCTGTGGCTGCTGTTGCAGTTCTTCCCTCTTTCCCCACCCCATTTCCTCTCTTCCTGACTCTGCCTAAGGGAATGGACCCAGGCTCTGCCCCAGGGAGGATGACCCACCCTGCTCTGGGGTGGGCCTAAGGCTCCCGGTGCTCCTTCCTGCCCCCTCCCCACAGCCCCTCCTTGTGCCATGGGCTGCCTCCCCAATGACCTGGTTAAGTAGAACACTGAGGTGGGAAGGGAATACTACTACTCATTGGTCCTCAGGCCTGGGCTGGCCTTTGCCTTTTTGCTGGAGCTTTGGCCTTGCCTGGCTGCCTACAGACGTGTGAGGAACTGAGTCCCGAGGCAGGCACAGCAGAGAAGAAAACAAAAGGATGAGGGGTGGCAGGGACAAGTCACCTCTATTCTCTACCTCCCATGCAGAGTACATGACCTCTTCACCTGGATTCCTGAATTTAAAGAGGGGGATTGAGGCCTGAGGATGCTAAAGGGACAGGGAGTCCTGGGGCCAGACACTGTGTAGTCAACTATAAGCTCTAAAAAAGGGCAAAAGCAGTTGTGAAGGGCTCGCTCCTAGATGGTAGGGTTACAAAAAGGGCAGAGGGCACTTCACAAAACTGATTGCTGTGATGGCAGCAGGCCTCTTGTGTAAGAACATTTACCCAGACTCCCTGGCAAAGATGAGAAGTGACGTAACCATGTCACTATTCTTTCACTGAGCCAGGCCTTCAGAAGTTAAGGTTTTCCTGATCCCAGAGTCTGTGGGCAGCAGGCCTTACTTAAAACATGGGAGAGAGGGCAGCCGTGGGCAGAAGTACTTGGTGCCAGTCTGCTTCCAAGACTCCCTCCTCTTGCCCCATTACTCATAAGTAGGCTTGTGGCATTGTCGAGTAACTACCAAGGGAGGGAAAAGGACACCCTCCTCCAGAGGTCTATGCTCAGGAAGTTTCTTTAACCCTGTGGTCCAAGGGTAGTTTGAAGGAGGCCCCTACAAGAAGGAAAAAAACCCATGCTAGGGGTCATCCTTACATTCCCAAGGTGGGAGGAGCTCAGGTAAGAGAATAGTCCCAAGATGCACTGCCTGACTGGGGCTGGAGCCAAAGCCAAGAAAAAACTGGGCCCTGACTGAGCATTCGCCAACCAAGGACCTTTCAGATCCAGGGCACAGATGTGAAGACAAAGAGCCTTATACCCTTTTAGCCCTCCAAAACAGGGTGATGGGGATGGAATCACCAGAAATTTCTTCCTGACTTAGAAAACCAGGAAACAGGCGCCAGGAGAGAGCAGCTCAGGCTTTCTGGTGGAGGAAAACAAGAGCAGGGATAGTGTGTTGTTCACTGAGAAAGGTAGAGCACGGCTCTAAGATTGGACCATGACTGAGGTGGCTTCCTTGGGACTGACTCCTGGGTAGCAAGATTTAGGTAGCATCACACAGCAGATGAACAGACCTACTTCAGCCAGGGATCTGAGAGACTTTACCCAGGGCAGTGGTTCTAACCTGTGGCAAGTGTCACTGGCCTGTTCTCCCAGCCCCTCAAGAAAGTACCCTAAGGATTCTGGGAGGGAAAACATGGGGTCTGGATTCTGTGGACTCCGTGTCGTGGTCACAGCTCTGGCAGCAGAAGGATGGCTGAGATTTTGGTGTACACCTGTGCTCACTCCATTCTGGAGTTTGCCTCACCCTAACTGCTGGTCTAGGAGGTGGCTTGGGCTGTGTCATTGGCCTTGACTGTTCAGCAGGCTTTCCTGGCCTGTCTGCTCATTGCTGGAGATCAACTCACCCTGGTCCACCACCTGAGCCCCACTATCTCCCTGTGTGATGGGTGAACTTTGTGTACTGTGTCTTGGGTCCATTATATGAATTGTGAGCAGGATTCATCTATTTTAAACACAAATGTTTACAAAATAAAGAATATTTCAAACCACAGGTGTCTGTGCCTGTATGAATCTCCAAGAGAAGGTGTTGGGACCTTGGTAGTGACATGGAGGCACAGTGAAAGATATAGAAGAGGCCCTAGAATCTTAAAGCCACAGTAGAATGACAATGGAAATGGTGAGCTTGGTCTATCTTCCCTAGTGACACTTGAAGAAGAGCCCAAAGCAAGACTCCCACTGCCCCACTGTGAGCTTACAAAAGCAGGGTTCAGACTTGGAGGAGGCTGAACATCAGGGGGGTCTTTAAAGCCCAAATGGTGGCCATCTGTTGTTGATGAATCAGGAAGGTCCTTCCTGAAGGCATTAGGAAGGGTTAGATAATGTTAATGTTTCAGATTTGTCATTGGATACCCCATGGAGCAGAAACAGATTGGAACCTAGGAAGAGGAGGTGTTGGGGACATGGAGGTAGATGATGGAGTATGGGTAGGAGGAGGAAGGCAGGAATAAAACAGCAGGGCAGTGGTAATCCTGAATCTCCACTCACTCCAGAGAGCACTTGCTGTACTCCTGAACAAGTCACTGTAGGAGGGAGTGGTTACCTTCATGAGTTCAACAGATAAGAAGGAGACAGGTTCTTGGCGAGCTTTAAAGACTTGAACAAGGGTCCAGGAGAACAACAGTTATGACTAAACACCAGTGCCATGCACTCTCCAGAGTCTAGAGTCTAAATGGAAAAGCTTTGGAATATCTATCTAGAAAAATTTCTATAAGCAATTCTCTTGCGGTCAGAACCGAGAACCACCCACCTAGGCTTTTCTGCTTACTAAGACTTAGAACAATTGTTCTGCTGCCGAAAGCCATAGGGGAGACTCTTTGTCAGTGTGTGCCCAAAGTTAAAAGTTCCTGGAAAGTGGAGGCAGTGTGTACACCTGGAGATAGTATTTTAGGGATATCTCACCAGTTTTACTCTACTGTGAGAAGTGAACATCCAGCAGACCAGTGAGGGCCCTAGATTTTCTTGGAGAAAATGAAGAACGAACCTATTCCTCACTCGGGACTCATGGCATGCTTGAAGAGGGCCTTCAAAGGAACAGCAAACAAAAAGCATCTCCCTCTTTGGAAACCCAGGCTGCTGGAGGAAGCTCTAGATGTTAGAGAAACCTGGAAAGTTAATATTAAGTTCTTATTTACATCATAGCCAAGTCCCTCTGACTCCATAGCTTTGTAAGGACATCTACTAGCTATATCCAAGGACTTCGTGCAGTCCCAGCAGAAGACCTAACATCTTGCCACCATCCCTGGTATCACAAGACTCTATTCCCATTTGGCTAATGGAAACTTTTTTTTAGGGGGCTGTCAGCTGAGACTGTGATTCCCACACTCTTAAGCACATGTAGAACAAGCTATGAGGCAGAATTGATGAGAACTCCTGGCAAGTAGTTTCTTTGCCTCTCAGCAAACCAAATTCTGAAAACTAGTTGCTCCAGCTCTGCTGACTCTGTTCTAGGAGACAGCTCCCAACGGATATGTATCTATGAAAATACCTTCTGGAGGCTGGGTGGTGGTGGCATATGCCTTTAACCCCAGCACTCGGGAGGCAGAGGCAAGCAGATCTTTGTGAGTTCGAGGTCAGCCTGGTCTACAAAGCTAGTTCCAGGACAGCCAGGACATAAAAAGTAGTGTACATCTTTCAGCTGTCACCTGAGTCAGGTGGACATCAGCCCCAATTCAGACACTTCAGAGACTGATGCTCAATAAATGTTTTTAAGTTTTTAAATTTACATTTATTTTTGAGACTGTAATATAATTACAATAATTCCCCCTTCCCTTTTCCCTCTCATAACCATCTCACACGCTCCCCACTCTTTCAAATTCTTGGCCTCTTTTTAGATTAATTGTTATTACATGCATATATGCATAAATATTCCTAAAGATATATAATCTGCTCAGTCTGTGTAATATAATTTGTATATATTATTTCAGGGCTGACCATTTGTTGATGGAGAATCAACTGGTATTCTCTTCCTTGGGGAAAACCACCTCTTCTCCCAGCTTTCCTTAGTTGCCCGTAGTTCTTTGTATAGGGCTAAGGCCTCGTGGGTTCTTCCTGCACCAACTTTGGTATGTCCACTGGTATTGTAGTTATTCAGCTCACACTTGACCATTCATGTTGGTGAGATTTTATGGGCATATCTTCTGAAATAAATGCATTTTACAAAGGTCTGTGCCAGGTAAAAACAACTTGCTGGGGCAAATAGGAGTCAATCTTACATGCTCCCTCCCTTTTTTCCTCCCCATTTGACCTTTAAGGCTCTGGTTTCCAGCAAGGAGTGAATTATTCACATCCGCTCATAGATATCAAATTGGCCCTTTCCAGGCTGCCAGTTGGGTGGGACAGAAGGCGGCTTTGTTCAGAGACTGTAAATAGGCAGAGCCAGGCCTTGTTCAAACAGAGTGCAGGTGGGTGCCCGTGTTACTAAATCATCCTAGAAATGCTCAAGGGCACCTGGTGAAATCCTTTCTTGTCTTTCCTGGCTCCGCCCTCCTCCCTACCCATTCAACCACTTAAGTGGGCTCACACACCTGGGCAGGGCTCACTGCGCTTCACCATGGCTTACATCGCCAAGTCGTTCTATGATCTCAGTGCCATCAGCCTGGATGGGGAGAAGATAGATTTTAACACGTTTCGAGGCAGGGCGGTGCTGATTGA